AATGGATTTTTATCCAAAACATAATTAATGTGCAGAAATAAGGAATAGTTTTATTAACCATACATGGAAACAGAGTTTTATGGGGCCGTTGCCTAATAATGGTAAATAATGATGTTAACCAGGGTTGCTGGTGGGAAGATAAAACATGTTGGAGGCTGTAAAACACCAAACATCAGCTGTGAAACCTTAAATCTCTGCCTTCCAACAGAGTGAAGAACCACATTCTGCTAAAATTTTGCATTTTAAAAGCGATGACCTCCAAACAGTCAGACTGAGCTTGATCTGTGGATCTGCTTCTTCTTCATAACGCAAAGCTGCACTACAGCTTTTAAAGAAAAAACTTTAAATCTTCCTGGATGTCATGTAAAGTTAAAATGGGGGGGTAATTAAAGTCTGTGACTGACAGCAGAGCCAAAAGGCGCAGACGCGCTGTGATTGGTCGGAGCGCGCTTTCCAATCCTCTCTTGTTTCCAGGCCGCTGAAGCTCCTCCAACTTTGGCTGCAGCCTGAAGCAGAAGCAGGACAGCAGAGCGAGGAGCTCCGCGCGCCGCATCCTCCCACAGCTTCCCGATCACACCGAGCCATGAGCCCGCTTCCTCTTCTGCTCTGGAGGATGATCCGGATGCTTTGGACCGTGGCGCTCATGTCGGCCTACGGCGCACAGGAGTACGACTTCATGGAATGGGATCCACCCAGGTACAACACCGGGCCCATCTACGGGAAGACCCCCCAGTGCTTGGCGATCCCCGAGGACCTGCGGCTCTGCTACGGCGTGGGTTACCCCCAGATGCTGCTGCCCAACCTGCTGGAGCACGAAACCATGGCGGAGGTGAAGCAGCAGGCCAGCAGCTGGGTGCCGCTGGTGCACAAGAGGTGCCACCCGGGCACGCAGGTCTTCCTCTGCTCGCTCTTTGCGCCCGTGTGCCTGGATCGGCCCATCTTCCCCTGCCGCAGGCTGTGCGAGGCGGTGCGGGACGGCTGCACCCCCATCATGGAGGCGTTCGGCTACCCGTGGCCGGAGATGCTCACATGCGACAAGTTCCCCGATCATGATGTTTGCATTTCCATGACGCCCAACGCCACCGAGAGCCCGGAGTCTGCAGGTAAGGAGGGTGACAGCTGAGGAGAAGCATGACCAAAAATAACAAAATAAAATCAGGTATTCAATGAAAACTGAAGATGGAGTTTAACATCCATCACTTGCAGTTTAAGAAAAATGATAAAACTCTTTATTTATGCTGTTATTGCAAAATAAATTTAAAAATCAGGTGAATAAATCGATATTTTATGTTTGATTTTTCTGCTGTCAATTATTCACCAAATATTTGATTATTGGGACTTTTATAAGTATTAAAATGATCACTGATTAATGCCTTTCTGTGATTATAAAATAATGCATATCTGCATATTTAAAAAGGTTCAGGTTTGCATTTTATTACGTCATAACATGGTTGATTAGTAATCAAAAACTAAAAAGTTTTAGGGCTAGATGGGGGAGGATTTGGCTTTATTTCTGTAGTTCTATAAGGATTAAAAAAGTTTCACCTATAAGCAGAATAATGCTGTTAAATAGGAGCTTTTTCCTGCTTAAAACAGTCTTTGCTTTAAGGAACTTTAACTATAAATAACTTAAGGAAAAGGAAAAGTGGTGAAAAAGGTGCAAATGCAGTGAAGATAAGTTGTGTTTGCACTTTTTAGGCCTGTGTGGATGAGGGTTGAAATCAAAGTGTTTTAAATTTGAATAAGCAAATTAATGGACTTTCATAAAGTTGGGTAAATTAAAATTGTCCTCTGCAGGAAGGAGAGAAAAAAGAAGGAAAATGTTTGTTTTAATAAACCAAAGTTCCCATTAAAAGCTTCCCTAAATTTAACATGCAGGATTTTACATCAGTTACATGATGTATTTAAATGTCCTTGTGTTTATTGTTTATTGCAGCGTTAAAACGAGGCGTGTTTACCTAAACAACAGAAAACATTCATCCTAAATGACCTTTGGAAAATATGGAACAACTTCAAAATAAGTCAGAATTTATTTTTTAGGCTCTATTTAATAAATCAAGGTAGGATTTACTCTTTAGGGGGAAAAAAGCAATGTTAGGTTTTATGCTTAAGCTTCTTATCTAATAGCAAAAACTTCTGGCAGTGTGTAAAAGTCAACACCCTGATCTTGTAACGCCCTTAAATTGGCTGGAGAATGTTGTTTCAGTGGTAAAGGGCTGTTTGCACATGCAAATCCCTGCACAAAGAAACCAAATAGGACCTTTTGGGGACGAACATTGAGAACTGTGAAAAGCCAAATCTGGTCTCATTTAACCCACCCCCCAGCACAGCTGAAACTAAAGGTGAATGGTTTATTTTCATTATAATCTGCTACCTAAACACTCACTTTAGTGTGAATGCAAAGTTCCCTGCTGCTGACTTTGAATAATCACAAAATATGGAGGGAGAAAAACTCCAGATGGGAGTCATTTAAGGTGTTTGCTGAGTTTGGAGGACAAAACCGGGAGGAAATCCAGCCGCAGAAGAATAAAAACGAAGAAATAGGCAGTACCTGCATCCATTACTTCTGCTCTCTGACAAACACATTTAATCTGATGAGAGATGAAAAGCTGAAAGACGCCCGGTGTGAATAATGTGGACTGTAATCCAGACTGCAGGCGGTTTCCCAACCGGTTGGATTAACTCACGTCTGCAGGGTCCAATGCTGTAATATCTGATCGGCTCTAAATACCTCTGGTCTGGTCTGGGCATCCACGCTTGTCCCTTTCAACATCTGCACATAAGGGATGGAGAAAGCACAACCGAGTCATTCATAGGAAGCTGCGGAGTGAGAGGCCTCCATCATCACATCGTCAGCCTGCAAACTGCCATCTGTAGCTGTAAATAGAGCCTTCAGAGATGTTTGAACTGAGCAGAAGGCATAAACGGGGGAGGGGGGCACTGTATCTGTAGGGGAGCGTTTTGCATTTAAAGAGCAGTGGCTGAGAGGGAAGTTGTTTTTTTGTGCCTTCTGAGGGTGAGAGCGGGGACCACACATGCTCTGTCCTTCTAGACGCCGCCTGCAATCATTTGTCAACTTTAGCGATAAATGAAATCAGTGATTTCCTACCAGCTTTTCTGTTAACATCATTAGCAAAGAGGCTGATAAAGAAAGAACAAATGCAGAGTGGTGTTGGTGGCTGTTAGCAAATGTTAACAGAAGTCAGCTCCCCCTGCAGACTGCTGCTAATGGATTTAAAGGGCCCCTACCAGCAAAGACCTGCTGACTCTGGAAGCAGGGGCCTTTTTTCCAAACTGTTTAGCACCTGGGTGCTACTTTCACAAGCTGATGTTAAAGACACGTATGGAACAGCTGGCAGCTATTTGAAGGCTGCTGGTCTCCGCCTTACCTGCTCTATGTGGCTGATTGATCGGGTCGACCCGGCAGGCCAGGTTCTGTTTAAATCAGAGCTGCAGGAATCCTCTGACAGATTCTAAAAGCTTTAAGTAATGAAAAGTAGAGTCAGCTGTTTGGCACAGAGGGACGGTTTTCAGTATTATGACGATGAAACGGTGGCGGTAAAGCATTGGCCTACACATGGGGAGGGCAACTTTTAGATGCTCCTTTGGTTCACCACACCTGAACCAAATAATTAGATGCTTAGGAGGTCTCTGGAGGAACTGACTGCATACCAAGGAGGTAACTCAGCCATTTGATTCAGGTGTTTGGGACCAAGGATGGATGGAAATGTTGCCGGCCTTCAGGAACTGGAATTGCCGACCCTCGGCCTCCACAATGAAGCTTGTTCTCCATGAACCAGAGAACCTACATCCATTCCAATAAGCTGGAACTGAATATCAATACTATTTATTATTTCTTTTAAAGGGGTCATAGAATGCAAACTGAGTTTTTGTTGTTATTGATGAATAACGATAGTTCAGTGGGTGAAATGGACGTACAGAGAAGTTCAAACCACATCAACTCCTCCTTTCTCTGCAAATCTCACTATTCTAAACTTCCACCATAAAACAGACGAATCCAAACGAAGCAAAGAGTTGACGTAAACTCGGAGATGTTGCCTTATTTGGTTCTGGACTTTTGTCACGCCCCGAAACTGACATCCAGACGAGCCCACTGGTTCGCGGCCCGAGGGAGGACTTCAGCAGAGAGCCATGAGCCGCCCGTCCTCAGTCAGAGGACGGGCGGGGGAAAGCATGGGGCCGCCGGTGTCCAGGCTACCCTCAAAGGGTCGGGTTCAGTCATTTGTCCCCCACTGGCTCCCTGCACTGCACCAGCCCCGGAGCTGACAGTTCTGCTTCACTGTAGGCGACCAAAATCCTAGACGATGTTTAAATTCCCCCCGGACATTTTTTTAGGTCTGAAAAGTAGGACACGTCCGGGAAAAAGAGGACGTCTGGTCTAGGCTTGTCCCGATCCGATCCATGTATTGGATCGGACGTCGATATTGGCAAAAAAATGCGTATCGGCAAAGCATGTAAAAATGCCAATCCAGACTGCCGATCCAGTTAAAAAAAAAAAATCTGGTCCGTATTTTCCAGTTTCGCCGATTGAAACGATCCATTCCACTATTTTGCGCCAGTGTTCCCTGAATCCGGCCCCCATTTTCCAGAACACCTTCAACACACCCACAGGTCTTTTTGGGTCTGTCTCCCGGCCTAATACACACTATGTGTAGATGGAGACTAGGTGTGGAGGAGATTGGGGAGTATAAGGCATTTTTGTGTAATAGTTCACTATTATTTGCACTGATTTTTTTTTAAGCAGTGTCTTTTTTCAAGAGTAGAGTCCTGATTCTAAGTTGATAGAATATTTTCCACTCTTGTCTGTTTGCATTTTTATCAAAACTTACAGTAATATAGCACCTTTAACTTTTTCCGGTGTTCCTGCTCCCTGTCCAATTTCAGATTGCTATTCATAATTTTGTCCAGTTTGT